TTATGAATCATGGGAGCTGCTAATAAGAGAATAATCAGCCAGGCTCTTTCTCTTCTGGATTCATTTCTTGCATGAGTTCTTGTACCAGCTTCACAAACATGCTATATTTTTGGCAACAGACTGTTTTCCTAGCCTTCCAGCTAAAATGAGACCTTTGCAGCACTGATGGGAAAGGTTGAAGGGCTTGTCAATGTGTTCCAGCTTGTCATTTCTCTACTATGATTTAGCAGAGAAGCTGGAACACACTGTCAAGCCCTTTTCATTTTTTTATTATCTTTATTTTAATTCTTTTATTTCTTTTTTTAAATTCTCTTCAGTTTAATTTTTTTTAACTTTATTTTCTATGTTGTCTTCTACTAGTGATTCTCAAAGTTAAGCCACCAGGCCTCTTCTTTATGTTTTAATTATAAACCATTATACGTAGGTTTTATTAATATTTTGAAATAGCTTTCATTTGAATTTATTTGCTTTTTTAATTCAAATGACAAGTTATCTGCACTAGAGCATCCAGTGCATGACAACCCTAAAGCTCTGGTAAAAGCACGATCTTCTGATTTTTTCTTACCAAGGCGAACCAGTGATCCCATCCCGGAGGGACATGCTCCACTCCTCCTGCTTTTTTACTGCCGTACTAAAGCAGAGAAACAGACATGATGATTCAAGGTGATGTACTGTCAACTGATTCACATCTATGACCGCAGGTATATATAGACTATAAAATGTTTTCCACCCTAAAGGAAGGGTTTCAGCATTGCAAAAGCTCCCAGTTTGTGTCTTTACCTCGTTCAGATACTTCCCAGCAAAGAAGGTCTGATAGGTGCCGTGTTTCTGAAGGAAGGCAGAGAAAGTCTCGGGCTCTTGGGTCTTCTGCCATGCAGTGCTGCTGCAGTTCCCCTCCAGCGTGTTGTTCACCACATGATGGTTATGAGGGTATTTGCCCGTCAGGATACTCGCCCGGCTGGGACAGCAAAGGGGACTGGCGACAAACTGCATGAGAGAAGAAATGGCAAGAAGAGTTGGGAGATGCTGTGCAAAATGACAGATGCAATGGCAAACATGCGTGCTGGTTGATCCACAATGCACATTCTGCTTGATATCCCCAACAAATCTATAATTATTCTTATTTAGAACAATATGAGGGCTTTTTAAGCTTACAGTTCATGCAAGATCCAATAGCACTTGTATGCAACAAGCACAATTTCTACTTACCGTGTTTGTAAAGGTTATCCCAGCATCACCTATCAGCTTTTTAGTCTTCACTAAAGGCATCTGTACAATAAAAGATGGCAAGATGCTGATTATGTAGCTCGTTCACTTAGCAACGATATATAAAGTGAAATGCATGGAGGAAATTACGACCACAGAGAATTCAGACAACAAAAAAACTCACTTTCTTAGAAAATATACTCACCATTCCGCCAATGGAGACATCCAGATCATCGGTCAAGATTAAAACAATATTCGGAGTGGGATTCATTGTAGCCTCGGCCAGACTGTTGCAAAGCAAAGTGACGCAGATGAGAAGAAAACGTACTATTACTAACGGAGACGAAACCATCTTTGACGCCGAATTAAAAACAAATAAAGCCATGACTTAAACGAGGACCTTTTCTTGTGATAAAAGCATGAAATACTGTTAAGGAAACCGCTCCTTCAGAGGAACAGTTAGCTTGCCTTGTCTAGTGTATGATATTGCGAATCATACTATGGCGACATTTTTGCCTCATGAATATTAATTGTGGCGTCTAGTCACGTCGCCTAATTTACATCACCTACAGCATAGTAGGATTCGCTAATTCGCCAGAAGACTGACGCCCACCTACCAACGTCTGCCGCACAGCCAATCAGATTCCAGCACAATCCCTTGGCATCATTAATATTCATGTTCAAGCCCGTCCCCATAGTAGGATTAATAAATCATGTTTCAGTCATGAGGAGAGACGGAAGCCTCGGTCAGCTGGGGCAAGTTCAAGCTCAAACCGGTGTGCACCGTTTTGC